ATATGATGCCTCTGTAACATAGAAACTGTTGAAAGATTTGGATTTGACGTTGGTACTTTGCCAGCCGGGCCAATACCCACACAGACTATAGAAACCGTGATTCGAAACGGTCCACCTAGACACCCGGACAATTTTCCGGGAGATGGACAAAGAGCTTTTCCGACGTGCATTTTAAAGGTGTCCAGACAAAATGGAGATGTTTGTGAAAGGGATTGGTTGGTATAGAGTAAAGAAAAAGAATCCCTGTTTTGTTTCCCATGTAGATTATTTAGTGAAATTGCCGTATCTTGCAGATCAATTTTGTCAAGTGATCAAGGATGATGGTCAAAACTAAAAACATGGCGTAAAGTGTACGATAAAATACCAGCTCATGAAAAAAGTGACGGTCATAAAAAATGTTATATAAAGTGGCGCGATTCAGAAAGAAGATTTCTCTTTGGAAAGAATATAGAGTCTCAGATTGATAAAGAAATTGCTACAAAAGTAAAATACTGGAAAGAATTTCTTAAACGAATTTTAGCAGTGGTTTTATTTTTGGGTGAAAGAGGACTTGCATTCAGAGCTTCTTCCAACAAAATTGATGACCATGATAATGGAAATTTCCTTGGGATTATAGAACTGTTAGCTCAGTTTGATCCGTTTTTACAAGAGCATGTTTCTAAAGTTCAAAAATCTCAAAAACTTGGACAACGCCTTCAGGTTCATTACTTATCAGCAGATTCTCAAAATGACTTTATCGAAGCATGCAGCTCAAAAGTTATTCAAGAAATTTTGGCAGAGAGAGAGAAAGGTCTAAGTATTTTTCAATTATGGTAGATGCTACACCAGATTGTTCTCATACAGAACAAAGTACTTTCATTCTGAGATATGTACAAAACTGCAACTCAACATTTTCGGTCAAAGAACGTTTTCTTGCATTTGTTGATTATAACAAAAAACTGGCCAGGATGTTGCAGATATGATCAAATATGAACTGGAGAAAAACAAAATTTCTCTGGATGACTGTCGAGGTCAGGGATACGACAACGGCTCAAATATGGCAGGAAAGTTCAAAGGAGCACAAGCAATCATTGCACATGCATATCCTCTAGCGAAATTTTCAAATTGTGGCGCCCATAGTTTAAATTTGTGCGGTATGCATGCAGCAGAATGTTGCAATGACGTTATAACTTTTTTTGGAATAGTTCAAAAGTTGTACAATTTCTTTGCGTACAGTCCTCAACGATGGGAAATTCTACAGAGATTAACTGGATGCTCACTGCATAATCTTTCTCAAACTAGATGGTCGGCACGCGTGGAAAGTGTGAAACCGATTGCGAAGCACCTGCCAATTATCAAACATGCTATTATTAAATGTAAAGAATTAAATTTGTCATCAGAAAGTAAGACTGAATTGCAAGGAATTGAGCGTTATATGGAATCATTCAAGTGTGTTTTAATGGCTACAATATGGCTCAAAGTTTTAGTTGCTATAAACAATCGAAACAAAATTATTCAAGCCAGAGAAGCCACATTGGATGTAGAAGTAGAAAACATCGACATTCTTCTTGGGGAACTGAAGGATCTACGTGAAAATGGGACTTATTGCTAGCAGAAGCCAAAATAACAGCAGAAACTATGTCGTCGGATATTTCATGTGAAACAGAACTTCCAGAAAAACGCCAAAAACGACGAAAACGTTTTTATGATGAAAATCAACATATGCCAGAATGAAAGTGCACAACATGAAGTGGATGATGATTTTAAAGTGAACGTTTTCTATAAACTTATCGATAGTATAATATCTGGTTTAACAGAGCGTTTCCATATGGCTAAAAATATTAACAATTCTTTCAATTTTTTGTGGTTATTTACAGAACTTGGAGAATGTGGTCTGGAAAAGAAATGTTCTAATTTCTGCAAAGAATATGACAAAGATGTCAGCAGTGACTTAATTAATGAAGTGAAATGTCTAAAATCAATTTATTCGGATACCATACAGAGTGAAAATCTTCATCCCATAAAACTGCTGAATAAAATTTATCAGTTGAAATTGGAATCTATATTTCCAAATATTGCTATTGCCTTACGAATCTTTTGTACAATTCCTGTAACTGTAGCAGAAGCTGAAAGGACATTCAGCAAGCTGAAGCAAATAAAGTGTGCAGCGGTCAACTGTGAAACAAGAACGATTGAACGGTCTTGCGACTTTGGCGATTGAACATGATTTGGCAAAGTTATTGAATTTTGATGACGTTATTAACAATTTTGCCTTAGCCAAATCAAGGAGAGTTTGTTTCTAAAACAATAAATACCGATTTGTTACATTTGGATATTTAATTTAAAAAGTAAACTTTAATGTTTTTTTTTTTTCAAATAAAAACTGAATATAACTATACTTTGTTTTTGTTGGCTATATCGGTCAATCTTAAATTATAAATATTAAGGTATAAGTAGTATACGTATATGATATGCGAATTTTTTTGAATGTCATGTAACCTAAAATAAGATACTTTAGAGGTTTATCTTCCGCGGTCATCGGGGGGCCCGTCACAGTCCAGCCTAGGGGCCCGAAATTTCTGTCGGCGGGCCTGATATAAGCGCACGTCGCAAGAGATTCGTGATTAGTGATATTCGTGATTAGTGATATTCGTGATTAGTGATTAGTGATATTCGTGATTAGTGATATTCGTGATTAGTGATATTCGTGATTAGTGATATTCGTGATTAGTGAAATTCGTGATTTTGTAAATAGCGATTCGGTGAATTATTTAAAGCGATATTTGATTTGTTTGTTGACGTTGTCATAGCAATAGATTTTGAACAATTTAAAAGTTAATTGTTGCGTTAATTTGAATTTGCTAGAAATAAACGATTAGTTGATTTCTTCTGTAAATAAAGTTTAATAACTAATAACTGTTTGGAGTATTTTATTCAATCGAAGATTTGAACCCGTCGCGTCGTAAATCGGTTACGACAGCGAATATTATAACAATATTTATATATTTGAATTAATTAACTATTTGCTTGGTGTTATTTTTTGATTTTCAACATGTAGATAACCGTAAATGTGAGTATTTTTTTAACGTATGTAAAATGGTAACAAAAATCCGGTTTAAATTTAGTGTGTTTAAGCGTCTCTCTGGTTACTATTTTAATAAAATGACAACAACACAATTTCACTTGTACAATTTTAATAGGAAAGACGTCACTGGTTGCCCATTTCATTGCATATTGCAAATACGTCGGAATTTCCATCGTGTTAAATCCTTTCAAAACAGCCTCAATAAGTGCCATAGAAAAATCGGTTACAACATTCGAATACCAAGGCCATTCTTTCAATTTTTTGAGACGTAGTGCTTATAGTCAACAAGTACTTGACTTATGTGATCCACGTCGTGCCTACATGTTACAAAGTCGATCATTGGAATTATTCTATTATCTACTGAAATAACACCAGTGTAATAAAAAATTTTCTTCTGCTATGAGCTGGTCCTTCTTATCACCGATCCTGTCGAATCAAATTACAACACTGGCAATATGTTCTTTTTTTTGGTTCGTTTAGCAACTTCAACCAGTTTGTATGGATATAAAACGATGCATAACGGTTCACTAACATGTTGTATAAATCTATCACTATCTGAAGCAAGTAGTTCTTCTCTTAGCTTTATAATTACATCAAAAACGTCATCTTTATCCTCATCGTCAACACTCAATGACTCAGATCTAGCATTAGCTAAAACGTCATTTGAGTGAATTTGCATCATGTTACCTTGATGCACTGTATTATCAAAGGAGGCATTAATTCGGACAAGTGACGGTAGCTTATTAGCCAGTTTTATTTATCTGTGATTTCTTCCTAAACCTCTCAATTGTCGTATTCCTTTTCCTACGTGAAAATAGTACTTTATGTTTGTTAAAATTTTACAATTGACCAATGAATCAGACGGGCTGGGTGATTTGATTTGCAAATTTATTTATTTATTTACAAACATACATACGCACGTACATACATACTCACACACGCACACACACATATATAAACATATATTGGCATGAATGGGAAAATTATTATTGGCATGAATGGGAAAATTATAAACTGTAATCATTGGTTCGGGCATAATGCATGCAGAACCAATGGCACCGCTCTCATCTAACCTAATGATGAACTACGTTGTGCGATTGGCTGCAATAAAAAGGGCACACATACACGAGCGCACACCGCTTAAAATTCAATACTAAAAAACATACATTGATGCTATTCAACTGAAAAAAAGCAAAACCAAAAAAGCCCATTGAATAAAACGCACATAGACATAAACGAACATTGTTGAATTTGAAGTCAATTAAATTTATCATTGAATTAATTGTTAAAGATATCGTTGGGTTATTTTGTTAATTATTGACACATACAATACACACACAAACACAATACATACACAAACACACCCACGCATACACAGGCTAGAGGAACGTGTAATTTAATTTTTTTTGTTGATCCATTTATTCACAATAAAATAAAGTGAAAAAGTCAGCCTAGCAATAAATGCTTATCTAAGGTTGACGTGTTATAATGATTTTTATAATGAAATAAAAGCGATGATGGCAGACCAATAGTACCGACCACCATGTCTGCGAGAAAAATTTTATTTTGTCCAGCGATATCTTTCTGTTTCAGTCGCTGTGATACGACGCACAATGAAATGTGTTAGTTTTTCGGGTTTTGAACACCCTGGAAGGCTGTTTTTTCAGCGGCTGATATATTGTTAGAAAGGTAATTTAATTCTACATATGTGGTAGAAATCTTTTTTTGAGGCCGCAATTATGAATAGTGAAAAAAAATGTTTTTGTGATTCGATGCGCAATGAAAATGTTTTAGTTTTTCGAGTTTTGAACACCCTGGAAGGCTGTTTTTTTCAGTGGCTGATATACTGTTAGAAAGGTAATTTAATTCTGCATTAGTGGAGTGGTAGAAATCTTTTTTTGAGTCCGCAATTATGAATGGTGAAAAAAAATATTTTTGTGATTCGATGCACAAAAAAATGTGTTAGTTTTTCGGGTTTTGAACACCCTGGAAGGCTGTTTTTTTCAGTGGCTGATATATTGTTAGAAAGGTAATTTAATTCTACATAAGTGGTAGAAATCTTTTTTTGAGGCCGCAATTATGAATAGTGAAAATAAATATTTTTGTGATTCGATGCAAAATCAAATGTGTTAGTTTTTCGGGTTTTGAACACCCTGGAAGGCTGTTTTTTCAGTGGTTAATATATTGTTAGAAAGGTAATTTAATTCTACATCAGTGGTAAAAATCTATTTTTGAGGCCCCAATTATGAATGGTAAAATAAAATATATTTTTGATTTGATGCACAATGAAGTGTGTTTGCTTTTCGGGTTTTGAACACCCTGGAAGGCTGTTTTTTTCAATGGCTAATATATTGTTAGAAAGGTAATTTAATTCTACATCAGTGGTAGAAATCTTTTTTTGAGGCCGCAATTATGAATGGTAAAATAAAATATTTTTGTGATTCGATGCACAATGAAGTGTTTTTGTTTTTCGGGTTTTGAACAGCCTGGAAGGCTGTTTTTTTCAGTGGCTAATATATTGTTAGAAAGGTTATTTAATTCTACATAAGTGGTAGAAATATTTTTTGAGGCCGCAATTATGAATGGTGAAATAAAATATTTTTGTGATTGGATGCACAATGAAGTGCGTTTGTTTTTTAGGTTTTGAACACCCTGGAAGGCTGTTTTTTTCAGTGGCTGATATATTGTGAGAAAGGTTATTTAATTCTACATAAGTGGTAGAAATATTTTTTTGAGGCCGCAATTATGAATGGTGAAATAAAATATTTTTGTGATTTGATGCACAATGAAGTGTGTTTGTTTTTTAGGTTTTGAACACCCTGGAAGGCTGTTTTTTTTCAGTGGCTGATATATTGTTAGAAAGGTAATTTAATTCTACATCAGTGGTAGAAATCTTTTTTTGAGGCCGCAATTATGAATAGTGAAAAAAAATATTTTTGTGATTCAATGCACACAAAAATGTGTTAGTTTTTCGGGCTTTGGACACCCTGGAAGGCTGTTTTTTTTCAGTGGCTGATATATTGTGAGAAAGGTAATTTAATTCTACATCAGTGGTAAAAATTTTTTTTTGAGACTGCAATTAATAATATTTTTAATTGATTTTTATGTTCATCTTACTGTCAATTTTTTTATGTTGTTCAATACATCATACAATCATTGTTCATACATGCGTTACTTAAATATATAGAATACATACTTTTCATACATTTCAATGATCAGTTAAGGATTTATATAGCTATACAATTATTAGTAGCATATATGAACATCTGCTGAGCATTAACCAGATGGTCCTCTCTTTTTTCACGATCTCTCCGCGCACATAATATATAGGTCGGTCGTTGTGGCTGGTGGCTAAGTTCAGATTCATTCAAATTGCTGAATTTTTAAATACTTAACTTAATGTCTTTGGAGTAATCGTGAAAAACAATTGAAGCTGAATTAGAAACAAAAAAATATTGTTCCACACTCATCTGCACAAAAATGCGAGATTTTGAGCAGGAATGAAACTGTATGTTAGTGATTCACAATAATATTAATGCTGTTTCGCTTACACCTGGCTAACAGTGGCGGATCTAACGCTTAGCAGACTGAGCAGCTGCTAGGGGCCCCGGACGGCCAAGGGGCCCCGTGTATAAATTTATCCCTAAAAAATACTTCAAATAAATTTTCCAATATAATGAAATTTCAAAAATTTGAAATAAATCAAAAAATTTTAAATAATATTTGTTATTAATGGAAAGTGGGCCTCGTAAAAAAAATTATTTTATAAAAATAACTGAAATAAATTTTGAAATATAATGAAATTATTAAAAAATTCTTTCAATTACTATGCTGAATTCAACGTTAATAAGCGTTTGCAAATATAGAAAGTTTACAGTAATATGTTTGAAAACAATCTGTCATTCGTTTCGTTAGCCACCGTGATATTCCTTCGGACATCCCTACTTTTCTGTCTTTAATATCGTATCGTTGTTTTGTTGTTGAAAGCGCGTGATTTTATTTTTTTAAAAGTATTGTGGTCAAATAATTAAAACGTTATTTAGTCGTCTGTTTTTTTCTTTTATTTCAAGTACCTAAGTGGTAAACATTTATTATTTACTTTTGATATAAATTCATTAAATGAATTTCATTTTAATTAATTACAAACGGCTTTTATAATTAATTGAATTGTTTTAATATTGAAATTTAAACTTGGCAGATAGATGCTATTAAAAGGTAATTATATTTTAATAATTAATTAATTAATATAATAAAAACGACTTCTTTCATAGTACAAAAATGAAAAGACATCAAAGTGGAGAGGAAAAAAATCTTAAAAATCCAGGAATTTGTTGAAAGTCAGAAAAATGCATTTCATAAATATTTGTTAGTAAATAGCGATATCGAGTTTCGTTACCTGTGCCATCAACATCTTCTTTTGAACCTTGTCACAGACCAATAAGTGTTGAAAAAAGGGAAGAAGAAAGAGAAAGTGAACATCAGGTTGATGGAAAAATAGTGAGATAACAGAAGACAGAGAAAATCCAGATAAATTGATAATAAGAAAAATGAACAAATTAATAATATAGCCTTATGGCTAGCCAGTTTGTCTGATTCATTTATTGACTATATTTTAAAAAAATAAACCAGAAAATATAGGAAATATAGAAAACTTAAAATCGGTGTTTAAAGAAAAAGATGATGTTTACTACAGCAGAGGGCTCTCTAATGATCATTTTTATAGAAAAAAATCAAACGGAGTTTTGGAAAAAAGAACATGGCTGGTATTTTCCGAAACTGGCAAGTGCGTTTATTGTTACCCTTGCAAACTTTTCTCCAAGAAAAAGTCCAAATTAATAACTGGCTTTGAAAATTGGAGATCAATAACAGTTGTTTTATCAGACCATGAAATTTCAAAAGAACACATGTCATCTATGTGCACTCTGTTCAAAAGATCAACTGCTTTGAGCAGAATTGATGCTCAGCTTTTGCAGGAAAGAGAAAAAGAAGAATATTATTGGAGATAAGTTTTAAAAAGGATTGTTTCAACAATACAGTTATTAAGCCGCTTAGGATTAGGATTTCGCGGTCATGATGAAAGTAAAAATTCCAATAGAAAAGGAAATTATTTGACCTGTTTGGAATATTTAAGTGAATATGATGAATTTTTAAAATTACATTTACAAAAATATGCAAACTAAGGACGGGTTCATGCAAGTTATTTATCTTACTATATTTGTGACAAATTTGTAGGCCTCATTGGCAATCAAGTAAGAGCTGAAATAATTGAAGAAATTAAATCGACAACTTATTACAGTATAATTATTGACTTCACTCCTGATATTTCTCATGATGACCAACTTACTTTTGTGATAAGATATGTTTCATTTTCTGGTAAGATAAAGGAACGATTTTTAGGGTTCGTTCCTTTAGATAAGCACAACTCTTCATACTTGGAAAAAGAAGTTTTAGAAACTTTAATGAAATTTGGTCTAGATATTAAAAACTGTCGAGGTCAATCTTTTGACAACGCTTCGAACATGTCAGGAAAGTACTCAGGTTTACAAGCACGTATTAAAGAACATAGTCCGAGTGCGGTTTTTATTCCTTGTGCTAACCATTCATTGAATTTAGTTGGAAACACCGCGGTTCAATATTTCATGTTTGTGCAAAAGCTATTTACATTTTTTTCATCATCAACTCATCGCTGGAAAATGCTGAACAGCAACATAGATGTTGATCAGTCTCTCTCATTAAAAAGGGTATCAGATACAAGATGGTCAGCAAAAGCTGATGCTGTTTTAGCTTTAAAACTGAAATATACAATAATAAAAGAAACGTTAACTGACTTATGCAATGGACAGGATGAAAAACCTATCACTATAGTTGAAGCAACATCACTACTTAAAAAAATGAATAAATACGAAACCGCTCTTATGACTGTTATTTGGAATTGTATCCTGCAAAGAATAAATTCTATCAGTAAGTCAATAGAATGTGAATTATTTAAAGGATCAATGCTACTTAAATCATTAGACAGTTTTATTGAGAATTTCAGAAATGATTATAAAAAAGTTATGACAGAAGCAACCGATTTATCAGGTATACAATCTTTTAGTGAGGAAGATGAAGTAACTTTTAACAGAAGAAAAAGAAATGCGTTTTTTGATGAAAATAAAGAAGAGTATAAATTTACAAATATAGATATTTTTAAAATCAATACATTTTATGTCATATGCGATAGTATTAAAACACAATTGCTACAAAGAGTTCAAAAATATGAGGTTGTTTTGGAACATTTTCGTATATTTCTTGATTGGAATTTGTCAGAAGAAAAAAAAAACAAAAGTCATTGAAAGAATTGAAAAATATTTACAGAAATGACATTGATGTTTGTAATTTGGAAGATGAACTAAACCATTTTTTATTTTTTTTGAAGGAAAATGAGGACGCCATTAAGAATAAGCCAGATAATTCAAGTAATAACAAAGATCTATCATTTGAAAGAATCTATAAAGCCACTAAAGAAATGTCATGCACATTTCCCATTATTGAAATATTATTGAAATTTTTTTTAACTAATCCTTTATCTAATGCATCTGGTGATAGATCTTTTTCTGTTTTGAAAAGAATTTAAAATTATTTGAGGAGTACAATGGGGGAACAAAAATTAAATAATTTAGCTGTTTTGTATATAGAACAAGAAATAATGAATAGTGTTGACACTGCCAAAATTATTGATGAATTTGCAAGAAGTAAAGCTAGGAAGAAATTTATTTGAAAAAAATGTTGTTTGTCGATTATTATTTTCCAATGATTTCTTTTAATCTTCATTTCGAATTACATTATTGTCAAACATATTTTGTTGACTATTTTGAAATTTTGTATTTTTTTTTATATTTGTATTTGACCAAATTTTAATCTATGAAGCACATCACAAATAGCATGAAGTCTGAAATGACGCTGGACAAAAATATTTGCAATGATTGTATCCCAGGAAGGGTGTTCACCATAGGAAAAAGACAATCCCAAAACACTAAGCGCTGGAAGAGCCTTAAATGAACACGGACACGTTCCATAATATATATATATATATGTGTGTGTGTGTATGTTGTGTTTGTAAATAAAAGGAATTTGAACATTTAATTTGAATAATTCCATGTTTAATATTTTAAAAATTTCGCACTTAATATATTAATGTTTGTAACAAATCTGTCGACAAAATATATTCAAGTTCTTTAAAAGTTGTTTTTAGTTCAAAGATGTATATCACCTACAAACTACATAGTTATAAGTTGGAAATAATTGAAAGTTAAAAAGCCTCTCCACGACACACTAACTTTGGGGTCTTAAATTTTTTTCTGCTTAGGGCCTTTGTTTGACTTAATCCGCCACTGCTGGCTAAACAATTTAGATACAAAAGCAACAAAATTTAAGGTATCTCATCATTTGCAAAATTATTTACCAATTTTTTGGCAAAATATTTGAAATTGAAATGGATGTCAAAATTTATGTAACTAAAAAAAACAATCCAATGCATGTATGTACAGTGTACACTCCTCTCCTCTCTACACCTCAATTCAAGTTAAATTTTTTTTAAATATAAAAAATCATAAGTAGTCATAATTATAAAAAAAATTAAACTATGAAAACAAAAAAAATGTAACCAAATAGCGGCTTACCACTGAATTGAAATCAGACTTTTGCAGAACTCCACTCGTTCAGCTCCTCAACCGACGTGAACCAAAACACGAGATAAAATGTATATGAAGATTTCAACGCAACGAAATATTTTGACCTAGATATTAAAATGGATGAGGTTTTAAAAATAAATGCTGATAAATGCAAAACTCATTTTATGGTTTCATGTGTTCACACATTACAAATGCCAAAAAAATAAGGATAATGCATTAAAATTATATTTAACTACACTAAAAAATATGAAGACTTTATCAAAACTTATACAGATTGCTCAAAAAAACGCTATCCAACATCAGCAGCCATTATTCAACCAGCTACTCAGCAACAGAGCAACAGTGTATCGGAGTCGGATAAAAAATGACTGACTCCGTTTCCGGCCCATCAAGAAAATGCAATTTCCAGCTCTGGCCCCTCAAAAAAATCCACTCCGGGTAAAATTTTCTGATTTCGACAACTGACTCTGACAAATGTCGGACTGACATAAAAAAAACCGGCCTTAGGGATTTGGTCATGACGGTCACATTATCACTATTTTCAATTTAATTCAATTTCTATGTTTTTTAGTTATTCATAATAATGAAATTTTAAACTTCATATATACCGCTTGAAGTCGTACATGAATGATTTTAATCAGCACACGTTTAAATTTGTATTTACATTATAGCACCATCTTGGGAGCTGCAGTGCCGTTAAAATCTTCAAATTTTATTATACAAAACAACTTTAAAGTTTAAATAGTTGAATATCTCGGTTCTGTTCTAACAACTTAAACACTAGAGCATAAAATTTTTTGTTTCTTATTAACTAGTAGCTGACTTTTATAAAGTTTATTAGCCATACAGCAGCAAAATCAATCATTCAATCAACCAACCAATCAATCAACCAAAAAGTTTATAAAGCGCTATTTCCACGATGTTCCACATCGCTTTTCAATGAATTTTGCAAAACAGATGGGTCATAAGATCCGCTCTGAACTTCGTAAGTAAGGGAGAAGTAGTCAGAGAAGAAGGTAGAAATATCCAAAAAAGAGCCAGAAAAAGCAAATGCAAATTTAGCAAAAGTGTTTAACATGAGTTAAGAGAACAATACGATCGTAAACCGGGGCGTTTAAGCTCAATTAATATATCTGATAAGTACTTAAGAAATAATTTAGATTGAAATTTATACATTTCTGCGTCTAACAATCCAACAATTAATTTAAAGTTAAAGTGGTGGTAATTTCTCACTGGTGTTGCTGCAGGAGTATATAAATTTAGAAGAGAAAATTAAATTTACGCAGTGAATTTTACACGAGCACAATAATAAAATGCCAAAAAGATAAACGTTAAATATTATAAAATGAATCGATGTAATTTATCCATCCATCCATCTTGTGTTTGCAGTGACGTAGTTTATGATATCGTCTGGATTTTAACTTCTGTCCAATCTGATTTGTTGGCAGCTGTTGGTTGGTGGTGGTGATTTAATAAAATGGTTTTTTTTGTATGATAAATTAATTCTTGAGAAGTTAACGAGCAAACAAATTAAACTATCAAAAAAAGAAAGAGATTTCTCGTAAGCCGCTTGCTGCCACACGAAGACCCACTTCACTCTGCTGCGCAGTTGAATGACGTCGAGATTGATTCCCTTCATGAAGGTTGTAAACGATCTGGAAAATGCTGGTTGGTAGGCATCGTCAGCAACCTGTTCGATCAGAACTGTTCCGTTTGTTATGTTCTGTTGTTGTTGATGGTGTTGTTGATGGTGTTGTTAATGATGATGTTGTTGATGATGTTAATGATGGTTATGTCGTTGGTGGTGGAGATTATATTATTATTTATGATGGCAGTGAAGATGGCATATTATCATACACTTCATAGTTACATTGCTTACATGTACAACTTGATATAATTTAAATATACAATATGGAAAAATGTATCCTTGAAATAAACCGTAGTTAATATTTGAATTAAATATTGTTAAGCTTTTATAAGCTGGCTAGGACGCTTGTTCATAAAGAAATATTAAAAGTATACAAACAAGCAAACAAACATGCAAATAAATAAATAAACAAACAAAACAAACAAGCAAGCAAATAAACAAACAAACATACAAGCAAACAAACAAGCACATAAATAAACAAACAAAACAAACAAACAAACAAAACAAACAAGCAAATAAACAAACAAACATACAAATAAACAAGCACATAAATAAACAAACAAAACAAACAAGCAAATAAACAAACACATACTTTTAAACAAATATTTAATTAGTTAAATAAATGCAAAATGTACAATACATATTAAATTTTCGAACTCAATTGAGACTCTACAATACAAACATAGATATCAATTCATATATAAAAATTAAATTGAAACACCGAGTGTCAGTCACCATGAGATAATTCTGCAAGGAGACAACTTTACTGCTGTTATCGTAAATATCAAACCTTTTGAAATCATACAACGAAGCGTCTTCCATGTTCAGCTTGTACACGTTCACCCCTCTTGAGTTAGTGCTCAGAAGATATCCACGCATTCCTGTGATGTCGATCAAACTCGAATCCGGTGCTTTTTTATTGACGTCGTTGTAACCCCACGACGAAACGTTCAAGTAGATTGGCTCTGTGGTTGTATGGACAAATTAAAATACATTCAATAATCATTTGTCCAAAACAAACAACATCTTATTTTTTGAATTTATTTAAATGAGTTCCTGAAACTTACTTTCCGCTATGTAAAAGGAGCAATTATTGTTGAAATTGGAGATGTGGATGGAGTTAGGTAGGTCATTGAAATGAAAGCAGGCCACGTTGTATACATCGAAACTCAGAGAGATGACATCCACCTGGAATGAAAAACAAGCACTGCCCATCATTCCACATCTCACGCCACACCTCATAACCAGCTTCATTTCAACTATCAAATTTGTTGACAGGCCAGGTCTGCTGAATACCAGGGATTTGTTGGTTGAATTGGAGCATAAAGAGGAGTTTCTCCATCGCAACTTGTTGTACACTCTACTTGAAGGCAGCAGTGACAGTGATGATAATGATAAAGCCAGCACTAACAAAATAATTATTGAAATTATTTGAGGATAAAAACACATTTTTTCAAATATTAATTTTAATATTTTTATTTTAAATTTTGTTTCTTATTAATTTAAACATTTTATATTCCTTCAACAATTTAAACAAGCTTTAGATATTATTATTTCAAAATGAGAAAAAAATTAAACATGGCTGAGACGTGAACAAATGACATGCAAGGTTGATGGAAAAGTTGTTGGCAGTCACACCACCCCCTCTCAGCGTCCACTCCCATCTATTGTGATCATCAAATTTTTCAATCCAAATCATTTGCATCGACAATTATTTCATTGTTTGTTGATGCATTGTTTCCAAATGTGTCGTCCATTTAACGATCGATCGATTGATGGCAACATGACGTTGACAAGTGTCTTATCAATGCATGCCTTAATGGAACGTATTCATACAGTTCGTACATTATTATTCAGTTTTGCCTTAAAAATGTTTCTGAAAATTTTCCTTCAAAATGTTATCTGTCGGCAATTTCATGTTGCAATTTATGACGACATCAAATTTTTTTATTCATTATTCATACATTCCCATGGATGTGCTTCATGAATGAAAATAATAGCAAATGTGTTGGTATGTTCATTTATGACAAGCTGCTAATGGAACTCGAGAACACATCAATAACGTTTATGAATGAAATATGTTGTTCAAAATTCAGTTGCCGCTAAATATTAATATAAATATTTGCACCAAATGTGCACTGAAGAACTCACGAATAAAAAATTAGAAAAAATATTTACTTGCTGCAAACAAGAAAATTTTTCTTCCTTACTGCTCTTAACGATATCATTAAAAAAATATTCAATTTTTGATGAAGGTTTGTTGAAATTTCAATTCGGATTAATTTTGGTTAATTTTTCAAATCTTTACATAAAATATCATCAGCAACAATAAACAATAAATTTACACTGATCGCAGCTTGGTAAGCCAACTTAAATTTAATATTTTATTGATTACAATTCATTAATTCACTATTTTGTAATTTATTCGTACGTTCAAGTTAGAATGGCTCTGTCCTTCAACATGTATAATGCAAAGTCAGATCAGGATAAACAAATCTCATACAGTAAAACAATTCATTTTATAGGCATTGTGTTGATAATAAGAACAGTCGAGCCTGCTCTTATTGCATATATTTTTCTACATGTATATATTTCAAATATTTTTCTACGTAATTTAGAATGAATTGAAAAATGACATTGCTTTGATCCCACATATCTTATAACATAATTTTTTTTAATATAATTTTTTGAATGTTTTTTAAAATAATTTTAAAATGCGTGAATAATATTTAAGAAAAAATAAACTTATGTCAAACAAATAACAAAATTATTTGTGTGGACTACTATTGGGTTGATAACAACACGATAATTTTAATGTTAATTTTGACAACTATAAAATTTTGAAAAGTCAAACATTTACATCGCAATAGAAAAGCAGTCATTTCAAAATGATTAATATAAATTAAGATAATATTTCATCACTTAAATAAAACAAGATTTTACCAAGTTGGTTCAAATTACCATTCCTAAAAAACAATCCATTTGTTATGAATATACTTTACAGTTTTGCAAAATTTCAAGTTCAAACTAACAAACCCAATGTCACATAAAATTTTAAAACTATTTAAAATATTACCACTTTAAGCAATGTCTTGGTGCTGAGTAAAAAATGTTTGCTCTAGATTTGAAATATGCTCAAAAAAGTAACACATAACTTTTAATTGAAACAAAATTTGATGTTAATAAATTTTAAAAAATATCACCAGAAAATACAATGCAAATTCAAACATTATCAACAAAAATAATTGCTATGCTTCTTTTATTATTAATAAAAATTTTTTTATTAAAATGAATCAATATTATAGACAGCATCCAAAATGAATCCATCAAGTTTTAAAGTTGAAAATGTCGGAAAGGCAGATGTGCATAAAATCAGCCATCGTAAACATTTAAATATAATAACTAACTGAACGTTCTCTAACATTTTAAAATCATTAAAATCAATTTAGAGAACAATTATTACTGTTTTCACAGGGACATTTCAAAACGCACAAACATTTTGAAAATATAAATCAGTGATATATTTAGAAATAGCTGGAAAAATAAACTAACACAGACACAAAAAGTTTCGCATTTTTGACGTAAAATTAAAAAAATTAAAATAACGTTGATTTTGACCACGTTTTTTTTTCCTCACGATAACAATCCTCTTTAAATAGATAATATATGTAGTAAAAAATGTATTTGAATAGCAATAAAGTACAAATAGGCGCATTTAGTAGTGCGGGAAGGATACTAACCAGTTACCACCGAAGGCCTACTCTATATCAATCTCACAGAGGATAGACTCAAGATAATGGCAGTAATAATCGAACCATCCATATGTTGAGGCAACGTATTGGATACACATCGCATCTGCTATATAAGGAGCTGATGGAGTCCAGAAATAATTCTCTATTAAATTAGATGTCCCTTTATTCAAATGAAATTTATTATTAATATAGATTCTTTTAACATTAAAAAAAAATTAAACTAGCTGAAAAAAGTTAAATTATCTATAAACTACTATCTTATTTTATGTTAATATACAATGTTATACAACAACATTACCAAAAAGAGTAAATATTATTTGGTGTGACCTGGGGCGGAACTTGGAGATTTTCAGGTTGTTTTATTTTATTTTAAACATTGATATAAATGTTAATACATAGAAATACATAGCACTGAAAAACAATCCTGATTCAATATATTACAATAAAAACTAAAAAGCTAGGTTGTATTGCAACGTAATCAACCCGCTAATGACTTCCAACATAGATACTAGGACACATTTTCAACACTTGCCAGAATTTTTTCTTTTAGACAACTCATCAGGCATTTTTTTATTCCGTGCTCCTCTTTTCTGAAAATTCCGCTCAACAGATTTTTTCTAGCATTCTTTAGATTTTGAAAAATATCGTTTTAAAATTTGTCGTTAGTGGCAGCTTGTCGATTTCTTTTTTCTTTTTAATTTAGCAAATTTTCCAAACTCGCAACTACTAAATCTTTTCCTACCATCCATTTTTTTAGAACCGACAAAGACGAGTAAAACTAGGACGACGTTTTTTTCAGCATAAATGTTCAACATTTTTGTGGTGTGAAGCCAACTAAAAACGGCAACGTCTACAGCACAATTTAAAGAAACTACAGCTCAATTAAAAAATTATAAGCAAGATAAAAATTCCGTTTTTCATATTTTTCGTTTGATTTTCTTAATTCAAAAAAAAGTAAAACGGAATAATCAAATTTACCTTAATCAAAATTTTTTGAATAATTTTTTATAAATTTTTAAAACGTTTCAAACTTTGCCGCTCGCTAAAATTTGCTCCCCGAGGAGCTTGCTCCCTTTGCTCCTCCAAGTTCCGGGCCTGCATGCGACACATTGCCTGTGTCTGCCGCAAAAAGTTTTGCATTTGAAGAAAATAGGACACTGACCAGGATAGGGCTGCCAGAAAAATGTAGCAGTGCCATTGATGTAAAGCTTAACTCCAGCTGTCCATGAATATGAAGAAACTGTGAAAACATGATGCATTTGTTAATGTTGATTACATTTTTTGCATATGTATTGTGGATTTTGTTTATATTATTTCCTGTTAACTTTTTCGTTTAGTTTTGTAAACTACTTTAGTCGTCTAAATTGTTCAAATTTTTGTTTCAGATGCAATATTCATAAACAAGATTTTAAGAGTTCATTTTTTATTAAAATTGTTTTGAATATTTTTATTGCTATATTATACATGATTTTTTTCACCTTTTCCATTTTTTTCACCTTTTCACAATGGTATGTCTTTGATGAAATTAATTTAGTTGATTTTGAAAGACACCGACGTTTGTTTGTACAATGGTGGCACTTAGCGAGACACTTAAAAAGCGATAATTGCGTCAACGTTTCAGATACTAAAAAGAATTTTGAAGTTTTTTTTTCATAAAATTTTTGTTTTGTTTTTAAAATAATTTTTCACATTTTACTATTATTTAGTACAGTAAAGATCCTCCAAAAATGACACCGATGGAGAATGCTCAAACTATCTGCTTCTCTGAACTTTTCTCTTCTGAAGATTCAACATTAAATTTCAATAATAATATTCGAATATTATTTTTACAAGTATCCTTAAAACAGCTTTTTTACACATTATGATTTAGCCGAAAAATCTTTGATGGTTGTTTCGCATTACAAATAGTTTTTTCTAAAATATTTTCAATTAAATGTTTTCAAAAAATTTAAATATTTCTTCATTGCCCTCACGGATTCAATAATATGTTAGTTTCCTTGCATATTCTAATGCCTTCCTTGTAGATATAATTTCTTGGCTAAAACTTTGCTTTATGTTTTTCTTCATCATTTAGATCTGATCTGCATTGCTTTTTAATCGTTTCTTTGTTTTCGCAAATGATCGCAATTTTGGCTTTTCCGCATTGAAGTTTGTCAGCAATCTTTTTAATGCTATTTCGGACAAGTAATCTCTGGCACAACTAGCATTTGTTCTTACAAGGTCTCAAATTTTGTTATTTGCAATGCCATTATCTATGATTAACAATTGATTAACAGGAAAGTAACGAGCGAAAAGAAACTTTTTGAAAATCGAATAAAGCTTTGTTAGCGCATTGTTGTAAATTATAAATTTATATTTGGTTATAAATTGTCTTTAAGACTTGAGCAATTTTGTACCAAAAAGTCTGTCCGTATGTATCAATAGATGCTTTAAATGCAATTTAATATACAAAACGGTTCCGTGTCGAGTTGGCTACTCTCAGCTGTCCGCTTTTTAGGTCTCGCTCTTCAGGACTTTTACTGTATTTGATCAGTTTTATTTGTTGGGAAATTCGTTTTAGTTTGCTCGCTTTTAGTTTTTGTGATCGTCATCAAAATCGACAATAATGTAGCAGCAGCATATTCGCTCATAAACGATAAATAGAAGCTTTTAACCTCAAATAAAAAAAACTTTACGAAAAAAATACCATTGCCCCTTTCAACTGAAAATGTTTTTAAAAAAGATTTTTAAAAACATTCAAGTTGAGTCGATATTACAAAAAGTAATTATTAACATTTTGATCCAATGTAGAATCCGATGATGTAGTTCTCCACGGAGTCATCAAACACAACTGGATGGGAGTTGAGCAGATTGTTGCACAACTTCCTGGAGTTATTCCATGTGTTTTTTGCACTTTGAAAGTTGTAACATTTGTGGCTTTCTACAACGTATTCAAATTCAGGCGGGCAATCTTGAAAAAATAAATTTGAATAAAGATAACATGACGACGTTTCTAACTTTGCAAAATTTTAATCTAACCGATACTACAAGCCATAAAAGCCAGACAATCCTTTTTTAAATTGGTTACGTTGTATAAAACGTTCATTTTGGGCACACATGAACAAGATTCACCAGACCTCACAAAATTAATTCCTTTCAAATTCATGTTCGTTGCCTTCTGAGCGTCACAAAAATATTTCGTTATTTTTATTTTAAAATTCAGTAAGTAAAATATTTTTATACTAATACCACAATTGTTGGAAATTAGGGCAACATAAATATATTACAAATATATAAAGTTGTTAATTATTTGTATCATAGTTAGATTCTGAAGATAAAAAACGAAGGATTCAGCGGCATACCAGACATTTGTAGATGCAATCACCAACGGAGACAGCCTTCAGTTTCTTCAAAATGCTCATAGCTGTATCAAAACAAACATCAGTTTTTTGATTGTTCACCACAATGTAGCTGTAAGCTCTGACGAAGGAGATCTCACGCGTGTGCAGGACCTCATGAGACTCATGAAGCACGAGCATCAAAACAAGAGAGGAGTAAATAATTTTCATATTGCAAACAATTTTTATGTTGTAAATAATTTTTGTGTTGCAAATTTTTTCAACTACAAAAAGCAACAAAAGTGGATTGTTCATAGATCTTTAAATTTGGAGTTACGTTTTTGAGCATGCATGCATGCATATACATATATGAATATGATTTAACGATTTATTCATACATACATATACATGTATAATGTTGGTAAAAGACCATAATTTTTACAATGATCTATAACTTCTACCGAATGTTTGGCGTTAATATGTTTGTAGTTCGTTTTTTCGATTTTTCTCACTAAAGTTTTTTGGAAAACGTTTAATTTATTAAAATTCAAAATAAACTTATTTTCCGAATTCATATTTCGATTCCGAATGAATCATCATCAATGCAAGTTGATTTATATAGGTTATAAATATATATATATATTTTTATATTTTGACGTTAAACCGTCATCGTCAGTACATTATTTATTAATTTTGTGATAGGTAATATTATAGCTTTAATATTATTAAAAATATAAACAAATAAATTTGAAAAAGAAACATGAAATTCTAATGAAAAATTTTAACACCAAAAAACTTAAAAAATTTTTGAACGATAGTTGTCAAAGCGACAAAAACAGCGTTAAATAGCTTCCTGTTTACTTTTTCAATTTTTCTAAAGGTTGATCGTACATCATTCTCAAGTTTCTTTAGTTCAAAACCAATATTTTTTATTTGTTTTAAGCATGATAGAACAAAAAAGCTTTTTTCAGTATTTTTTCGGTGTTTGAATTGATACTTTGTGTTCGTGGCCAGATGCTCAAATATATATTCATACTGTGTCTCAACCTTGTTGATTCTTTGTTTGTTCAAAACGAATACTTAACGATCATTTAATTAGTTTTACAATCTTCAACTTTGTACAATTTTCAAACCACCAGTTTTATTAATTCTGCTGATAACCATCTATTCCGCAGCTTTTATTGTTTTTTTAACATTTTTATTGCTTTTCATCATCACAATTTAACATTCCATCGTTTCAATGTTCCTGTTCATTTCTGCTGATCTTTCTTTAAGTTCTTCAAATATTTTTTCAACATACGTGTACTCGTCTATATAAAGCTTTTTTATATATTCACAAACCTGTCAGTCTTTTAGAAGCAGTTTGCCGTTCGTATCTTTTACTGCTCTTATCAATGACGCAAATACTCTTTTAAGCTATTTTATCAGTTTGTATGCCTCTTTGATTTTTCCTCCATTGAAGTTGCTATACAATTCTTTGCACCTTTTCAATCCAAGTATTTTTGGGACTATTGTTTTTTTTAAATTTTCTGCTATCTCGACAAGTTTTTTGCAGTTTTCGTTCAGCTCTATTTTTTCAAATTTGTTCAATTTCTTTTCTACATCTTTTTCCGAAGCAAGAATTTTTTTAGTGTAGTATTTAATTTACCAAGCCAGTTTTACTTTTTTCACTTGGGTGAACTTGATTTGAAAATTACATAAAACCAGTTGGTGATCGGAATCAATATTTGCTCCTGGGTAACTTCTGGTTTATCATGCTTCTGTCATTCCATCGGTTGACGTTCATGTCCATTTTTTGGTCTTCCTTGAAACAAAGTGTTTGCAATACAAAGTTTCTTTTTTTGGGCAAATTTTTGTAACATCTTCCTTTTATAATTTCTATTCCTTATTTTTCCATCACATCTTTGTAACTTTCTCTGTCTGTTTTTATTTTTGTACTCAAATCTTCTACCAGGAACTTATCATTGCATTTATTCAAATCAGTTGCAAAAAAATAAATTTTTATTTTGCGCTGCATCTTTTAGGCAAGCACAGCCAAAGAGACTGCAATGTGTAACATGTACGCTCAATTTAGCAAAATGTATTCAGTCCAAAAAAAACTTTTATCCCAGTTAATAAAATTGGTAGTGGCATTTGTATCCGCTTTTTGTTATATGCGCCTCTCTATTTCTTTTCCATTTCTTACATTACATTCACCGCCTCACCAGGCAGTCTATTCCAGACAGTCTATTCCAAAAAACCATTCAACTATTCAAACCATTTCTTGTCAATTGCATTCTATTCGATGACAGGCCAGTACCAATGAAACTTGTTTAAAACATGTGATGAGACTGATTCGTATTTGAAACGCCAGCAATTATCCTTGCTGCGGTGTTTGTACGTAGTTTTGAACTGGATTCACACAAAACTCTGTTGCAATTGTCTATTCTGTTATATACGAAACTATGTAATAAACATTTATTAGTAAGATATACGTCTGATTCAACGAAATAAAAAAAAATTACTAGCAAAGGTTTTTCACAAGCTAAACCATCGTCAAATCAAAGTCAGGTCAAACGCTGAAGTTTTTAATAGGTCTACACGGATATTAAATAATGTTTGAAACATTTGACAAGTGCCCAACCAGTTGTACTGCGTCTTCTCAAAGTTCAATCTCAATCCGTTTACTGACATCCACTCTGAGACATTCAATTCACTTTTAATTTTGCACGTGCTTCTCTTGGCCATTACATCTACTGTATAACTGGGTAGGGTATCATTTACGTATAAGTGGCATTCCTATTCAGATGATTCTACAACGCTCACAATATTTGCGTGTAAACAAATTGATTTGTATTATTTTTACAGCCAACACCTTAATTGCTTTCTATTGTTTATTTGTCTGACTTTACAAAATTGTTTTTTAATATGGATATTACTGCTTTGTTTAAAAAATTTTCTACAAACTGAATGAAGTTTGAAACTATTATTGAACGTGATATCGTTAGATTTGTATAATTTTCACAATCATGATAATTACAAGCAATTATGAAACAGTTGAAGCAATTTTCGCTACGACAATTTTTAAAAAGCACAGCAATTATTTTGTTGAATTTCAAATTTTTCCGACGTTGAGAGACGTTATGTCAAAAATAATATACCTTGTGTATAAGTTAAGTTGACCACGAAACAGCAGGTCTTCCTCAGTAATAGGTGTTTCCGGTGATCTTTGGGAGGGGGGTTAGGGTTAAATTTTACAAAATCTCCAAAATTTGACTTTAAAATTTGTTTACAAAAAATATATTTTATTATTAAAAATAAAAGTTGTACTCCGAATGAGCCAAAAAAAGTTCGTTAAAAATTTGTGAAATAGAAAACTTCTGGAAAATCTTGTTTTATTTAGAGAAATTTGAATCGTGTAAATAATTAAAAACGGTTTCTAATATTGTTATGTTATCAAGCAATCATTTAAATTAAATTAGTTTTTCTAAAATTATTGTCCATCTCAGGAGTGGGCAAACGTTTTCTCGTGAAGGCCGCATTAAAAACTATTTTACCAAATTAACCAAAAAAAGTTAACTGGTGACTGGCTGACCTTTTTTTCAGTTATTATGTCACTTTTCATTTATTCATCAAAATACGTGCCAGGACCCGCGGGCCGCATAATATTTTATTTATTTTTTTTTTATTTATTTATTTGAAGTATAACCAAAAGAGATAAACTTGTGGATAGGCTACCCTTAACTAAGAATTCCAACTGTAAATGTAACAGAAATGTCAAATAAATACATGCACACAAATTCTTACAGTAAATGTAACAGAAATGTCAAAGAAATACATACACACAAATTCTTCCTATAAATGTAACAGAAATGTCAAATAAATACATACACACAGACAAATGCTCACACGTACATCATTTTATGAATACTGTCATGTTTCCTATACCTAAAGGTAACAGTATAGTCACAACTGAGACTGAAAATTCGCTTACTAAGAACACCAAAATTAAATAAGTTGTAAAATTGTGTAAAACTATTTAAAATATGTGTTTTTTTCAACTAAAAAAGTTTTTAGCTTGTTTTTAAATAAGTATAATGAGTTGATTGTTTTAATTTCATGTGGCAATACAGTATCCCATACCCTTAAATACAAAAATTGATGTGAAATAAATGTGCAATTCTTTAATGGGTAAAATGTTGAGTGTCGAATAGTAAGCATTGGTTATATGAGTACACGGTGGAAGGGTAAATAATAGTCTTATAAACCGATTTTGACATTTTTGAATATAATTTAAATGGTTTTCTGGACTTCCGCCCCATAAAAGATTACAATAAATTGAATGTGAATATATTAGAGTATAGTAAAATTCGATCATTATGTCATAGTTTATTTTTGATTTGATTTTATATAATATACCTAGTATTTTATTGATCTTAGTTGAAATTGATTTTATATGTGGTTCCCATGAAAGATTATCATTTATTAACACACCTTAAAATTTTGTTAAATATGATCTAGGTGATGCCAGACTGTTCATTCTTATATCAAGGTTGCCTATTGTGTGTTGGTAATTATCTTGGGGCAGAATAATACATATTAACATTTTGTTAAATTGATAACTAATTTATTGAGAGTAAACCAATCTACGAATTTTTGCATTTCTTAGTTTATGCGATCACTATCCAGTTTAAAATCCCTTAAAGTGAAGAATATGTTAGTATCGTCCGCATATAGTAAAATATTTGCCGAATCAGTCACGTTGACAATGCCACTAATGAACAAGACAAACAAAAGAGGTCCGAGATTAGAGCCCTGCGGAACTCCACTGTTGATGTTTAGACATTCTGATTTAAATCCTTCTAATGCAACATATTGCTTTCTATCCCTAAGATAGCTTTCACACCACAAGTAGGCTACACCTCAGATTCCATTCATATATAATTTCTTCAAGAGTAATTCGTGGTTTATGACATCAAACGCTTTTGACAAATCTATGAAAATTCCTAAAGTGAGATTTCTATCGTTTAAAGTCTTGAAGACTTTCTGAATCAATTCGGCCGAACGCTTAGGCCTATATTCATATTGACAATTGCACATTATGTTATTTGCAACCACAAACGTTTTCAAACGAGTATGCATTATTCTTTCAAGTATCTTCGAAAGAGGTGAAAGAAGAGAAATTGGCCGATAATTGCAAGCATCCTCTGGATTACCTTTTTTGAAAATTGGAACAACCTTAGAAATTTTAAAACAAGCAGGAAATATGCCTTGCGATAATGAGAGGTTAATAATGTGAGTCAAAGGAACAAGTATTTCATGAATAATTTTTTTTATAATAAAGTTACTTAATGTATCATCTGAAGTACTTTTTTTATTTATCATGTTCGTGACTATACTTAATATTTCTATTTTGTCAGCAGGTTGATATATTCTATATTCTATATTAACTAATTCTATATATATTCCCAAGAATTAAATACTTTAATTCTAAATAAGATTACTATTAGTTATTGGATTATGCTGCGATTTAAGTAAATTGTCAGTTACATCTATAAAGTATTTATTGAATGCGTTACATATTTCCTCTTTTCTTCTATTAATTTGTTACCTATTTTAGATCTAATATATCATTTAATATGGCTTCGTGGACCGTAGTTTGCCCACCCCTGGTCTATTTCTATGTTAACAAGCTTGATTATCGAGCGGATATTTTTAAGATGTTTAAGGTGTTTTGTTTCATGATACTTGAGCGTAGAAGAAAATATTTTATATTTAATGAATGCTTCAATATTTATTGAAATAATAAAAAATGAAAATTTTTAAATTTTGACTGTTAGCAATTTTTTAATACTTGTGCATTGTAGAATTGTTATTGATAACAATTATTTTCATATAACGTGTTTCTTATGAATAGTTTTTTTTAATAATAAGTAATAATTTGAATTAAGAAAATTATGCACCATATTCATGCAAGTAAATTATTTATTTATACCGGATGTGTATTTGAAATTAATTTATGGCTAAAATAAGTTTGAACGAGGAATAAGAAATCATGCATGTAATTTTATGAAAAGTTTGGAATGTGGCAGTTCTCCATCATCAGCTTCTTAATCATTCTTTATGTAAATTTAGTTTCCACAGTTGATCTTAATGATTGCCATTGACTTAGCTGACATCCTAACATACCAAATATTTTTTTAATTAAAATACTTTCCATAGTTCGAGATGATATTCTCCGTTTCACTCCTCCAAACAATTTTGAATTATTCATAAAAGCATTGCTTGGTATAACAATTTAAATATTGAAAGGTAGATTTGTTCTTTCATAAAAGAGTCATTAGCTTATTACGTTTAAGGTTTGTTAATATATATATACTGCCTCTCAGATTGCAATATCCATTACAAAATTTTGTAATTTTTGTTATCATTGATTGATCTGCAAAAATAAAAATTGCCTTAAAACGTCAAATTAGCCGATTGTATTTTATTGAGCCAAAAACATGTGCCTACCAAAAGGAACCATTGTCTTTATTTAAATGATTCTTTGCAAAAACAATTAAAAATCTTGTTGAATTTAAAATGTTGTTGTTGTTGTTTTAGGTGGATCTGTTAATATCTCAATCAATAGTTAAACGTTATAGTTATATAGGTTGCATGGTGATGATAAGTTCAAATAAATTTCTTTTTCTTGCATATGAAAAGAAATGTTTATTGAAAGATAGAATATGGCTGTGAACAAATTAGCACTTGTTGTGTATGCATGCGCTCATGTGAGAATAAAGTACAACTGTGTATGCATGTACTGGAAATGAATTAACACATGTGTGTATGCATGGACATGGAGAGAATGGAATAACCGTATGTGGAAATTGGAACATGTGGCTACATTAGAAATTTGAATGATTGTTAGACGTAACTTTTCTTTTATTAATAAATCATAAATTGAAGAAGTTTAATTTTGTAATAGAAATAAAGTATATTAGAAATTTGTTGTTGATTAAAATTCTAAAAGATAATTTCAGAAATAAAGAGTTTTAAGATAAATTTAAATTGAAACACAATAAATTGGCGACGAGGATTAAAATTATTTCAGAGTTAAAATATTTCGTTGAATTAATATCATTAGTGCTTTGATATATGAGTACTGTTTTTTTTGACAATGGAAAAATTTCAAGTTTGACCCAGAATTTGAAACCTGGAATAGATTTGTCAAACGGTTGTTAGAAAATATTCCTGATGATGGGATAAACCAAGAAAAAAAAAAAGCGTTGCTTAGACAAAATATTGGAAGAAGATTAACCAACCAATGCTGGACGAAGGCAGGAAATGCAGCCGACAACCACACATTCACGAAATCGCAGCAACGGCAAAGTCAATAATTGAACCACCGCGATTGGAAACCCAGGAACGATTTCGATTTAGCCAAAGAAAACAGAACATCGATGAGACACCGACAGAATATATGTCAGCGTTGAGACAATTGGCGTTGACATGCGATTTTGTTGCTGATGCTACAGCACCGGAGAATCGACGACTAAGAGACAAATTTATTTTTGGTTTGGCTAGCCAAAATATTCAGGCGGATTTACTTACGCGCCGAGATTTAGATGTAAAAAACGTAGTCACCTTTACGGAAAGATATATTAGAACCCACAAGACAGCTGAAATACTTCAGGGCAAAGAAATAATCAACTCACTGAAGCAAGGAAGTGAAGGACGAGAAAAAAAACAATGTTAGTACAACAGAACGGAAACAATCAGAAATGCAAACACTGCAGATTTAATCATGAAGGGATTTGTAAATTTATGGATGCAAAATGCTACAACTGCGGGTTGAATGGTCACAAAGCAAAAGTTTGTAAAAAATTGTCATCCAAGAGAGAAAAAAATCAATTAAAGCAGAAGAATTGGACCATGGCTAAAACTGTTAAAGAAGGTGAAGAAGATAGTAGTTATATTCAGATTTTTAATATGGATGATCAGACAAGCAACTTAAAAAAGCGGTACGTTGACTTGGAGATTGACCAGTGTAGAATCACTTGTGAAGTAGACACAGGTACATTAGAAACAACCATCACTAAAAAAAGATTTGATAAAAATAAGAAACAGTTTAAATCATATAGTGGACATAAATTTCCAATACTCGGATGTGGCAGAAGTATTGTAGTAGTCGAAGGAAAGAAATTTAGCAATCAATTGTACTATGTTGTTGAAAGAGACTGTACATCCTTGGTTGGGATGAGATGGATCATGTGACCATGCGCATATAAACAATGTAAACATGAATTCAGCGAAGATGGATGAATCCGTCAACAAAGCTGATAAAGATTTGAAAAAACTGCTTCAAAAATACACAGATATTTTTGAGACATTAGGTTGCATCAAAAGTATTAAAGCCAGCATCACACTCAAGGAACTGCCAATTAAGAAATTCTGGCAACCTAGACCAGTTTCATTTGGTATTGAAAAGAAAGTCGACCTCGAATTAGAACGAATGGAAAAAAGGAAAATCATTGAGCATGTGCCTAGAGATATCAGCGAATATGCATCACCTATTGTTATCGTGGCAAAAAGAGGAACAGAAGCAGTTCGATTGTGTACAGATTTTAAATTTTTTATTAGCAACAGTGCCCATTAGATGGTGGAACAGTACCCGTTATCAAGAGTTGAAGACCTTTTTGTGAAATTTGGAAGCTGCAAATATTTGTCAACCTTGGATCTGGCCGAAGCCTTCCATCAGAATGAACTTGACGATGAAGTACAAAAATACCTGGTAATTAACACGAAAAAAGGATTGTATAGATACAAACGTCTACCGTTTGGAATGGCGTCGGCTCCAGCAATTTTTCAGCGTGCTATAGATCAGATAGTTTGTGGATTAGAAGGAACATCAACCTTCATGGACGATATTTTGGTAGCGGCACGTACAGAGAAGGAACACTTAGAGCGATTAAACAAAATATTTCAACGTGCCAAAGAATTTGGAATGAGGTTATGCTTGAAGAAATGTCATTTTGGAGCACCTTCAGTAAATTATCTGGGTCATATTATTGACAAAAATAGACTGCACACGGCACCAGATAAAGTTGAGGCTGTCAAAAAGGCACCAAACCAAAAAATGTCAATGAATTACGATCATTTCTAGGACTAGTCAATCACTATGGGAAATTTTGTCAGAATTTGGCAGATATTTTAGTGCCAAAGTATAACTTGACTAAAGAAAAAAATAAATAAAAATGGACAGAAGAGCATGATGAAGCATTTTCTAAAACACAAGTATTTTGTCATTTCGACCCATTGAAGCCTATTGGAGTAGCAGTAGATGCGTCTAATTATGAAGTTGGAGCAACGTTATTTCACATTTTTTCAAACGGCGATGAAAAACCAATTGCATATGTTTCTAAGAAATTGAACCATACACAACAAAATTACGCTCAAATAGAAAAAGAGGTTTACGCCATTATCTTTGGTATTTCGAAATTTCAACAATATATTGTATATGGCAAGGAATTTTTGTTGGTTACAGACCACAAACCATTATTGACTTTGTTATCACCAAATAAACCTATTCCCAACCGAACATCTCGACGTATCCAAAGATGGGCTTTGATTTTACAAGGTTTTAAATATTCGATTCAGTACAAATCAATGACCAAACACGGTAATGCTGATGCATTATCTCGTCTACCTTTAGAAAAACAGGCCGACACTGAGATCGATATTTTTGACATTGAAACTCATGATGTCGAAGAATTGGGGTCCAGCTTGTTTTCATATCAACAACAACATGAGGCTATGAAAAAAGATGTTGTATTACAAAAGTTATCACGTATTTTAGCCTACGGAAAATGGCTTGAAGAAAATGGGAACAAAGTTTTGGAACCTTACAAGCGGCATCTAATCGAATAATAAATTGAAAATGACATATTCTATTGGGGTCAACGTATAGTTATTCAGACAACTATGCGGAAAACCATTTTAGAAGAATTGTATCAAGGACATCCAGGCATAGTTCGAATGAAAAATCTGGCTTGGAACTTTGTATGGTGGCCTAACATAGATGTCAAAAATTTGTTCACACTGCCAGAGCGTTCGACCTGAAACACCAGTAGCTAAGGTTGATCCGTGGGAATTTCCAGAGAAACCATGGCATCGATTACGTATTGATTATGCTGGACCGACGCAAGGACTTTATTAGCTTATTGTAGTAGATGCAAGAACAATATGGCCGAAAGTTATCCCTGTACAAAAAACTACTTCACAGAACACTGTAGAAGCACTGTTACAATTACTTCGATTTGGGGTTCCTGTAGAAATTGTATCAGATAACGGAACACAGTTTACTTCAAAAGAATTCAAAGCTTTTTGAGGTTTAATATTAAACATATCTGCACATCACCATATCAGCCACGATCTAATGGAGAAGCTGAAAGATTAGTTCGTACTTTCAAAGCGGTTTTTTGAGAACAAGAATTGTCTTACGAGCGACTTATGCATCACATTTCAATTGTAGCTATAATTGCTTATAAGCAAAAAATATCTTTCTCGTAACGTAGTAAACGATTTGTTAGCATCATCACAGTAAAAATTACAACACTTATTTTTTATTTCTATATTCATAAGATAGTGGTAGTAAAAGTAGTAGTAAATTTTTTTATATTCATAGCTGTAGAAGTAAAAGCAGTAGAAGCAACAGCAGCAACATTAGTAGAAGTAGTCGTAGTAGTTGTAGTGGTAGTAGTAGAAGTAGTCATAGTATTATAGTAGTTGTAGAAGTAATTACAGTATTAGTATATTCTTCCATCGATTTTAGTTTTCATTATTATTACTATTGTTGTTAAAATTATCTTTTTAAAGTTAAATTTAACTTTTCTTTCTCTAGTTAACTATATGCTGATGATTCTTACATTTATACTTCTTTTCTTCCATCTAATCTCAATAGTGTTCTTCATAATTTATCTCTATGTCTTTTTTCAATTATCGCTTGGTCTGACTCTATGTGTCTTAAACTTAATCCTTCTAAGTTTGAATTAATTTGTTTTAATAAATCTAACACTCTATTACTATTCCTCCTATTATCTTACCTGATTCTAAAACTCTTGATGTCTCTCATAAGTTTCGTAGTCTAGGTTTTATCTTTGATTCTACTATGTCTCTCTCTTCTCAGATTAATAGTGTTGCTAGAAGCTCTTACTTTCATCTACGTAGAATAAAAAAACTTTTGTCTTTTCTTGATGATCCTACTCTTCTCCTTTTTGTTACTTCGTTAGTCTTATCTAGGATTGATTATTGTAACTCGCTCTACTATGGTCTTCCTGACTCTATACTCTATCCTTTAAGTAAAGCTTTTAACTTTGCTGCTCGTCTAGTTGCTCGTGCCCCTTTCTTTTCTCATATATCTCCATATCTTGTTCTCTTGCACTGGCTACCTATAAAATATAGAATAACTTTTTAAAATTTGCACGTTTATGTATAAGTCTCAATCTAAATTATTTTCTAAGTATTTATCAGATATATTAATTGAACCTAAACGCCCCGGTTTACGATCGTCTTCTTCTTGTCGCTTCTTCTTAACTCGTGTTAAACACTCGTTTGCCAAATCTCCTTTTGCTTTTTCTGGTCCTTTTCTCTGGAACTCTCTACCTACTTCTCTGACTACTTCTCCATCACTTGCGAAGTTCAGAGTGGATCTCAAGACCCATCTGTTTTCAAAATTCATTGAGGAGCGCTGTTGAACATCGCGGAAATAGCGCTTTATAAGGTAATTGATTGATTGATTGATTGAACCTAAACGCCCCGGTTTACGATCGTCTTCTTCTTCTCGCTTTTTCTTAACTCGTGTAAGACACTCTTTTGCCAAATATGCTTTTGCTTTTTTTAGTCCTTTTCTCTGGAACTTTCTACCTACTTCTCTGACTACTTCTCCATCACTTGCAAAGTTCAGAGTGGATCTCAAGACCTATCTGTTTTCAAAATTCATTGAGGAGCGCTGTTAACATCGCCGAAAAAGCGCTTTATTGATTGATTGATTGATTGATTGATTGATTGATTGATTGATTGATTGATTGATTGATTGATTGATTGATTGATTGATTGATTGATTGGATTGATTGGATTGATTAATTGATTAATTGGATTGATTAATTGATTGATCTTATTATTACAAGTTATCCATAACGATTATTGTGACGCAATAATTTCCGAATTAATTAGTTAATTTGCAAAAACGAGCACGTTTATATTTTTCAACATTTTATTACATTCAAACACATTTTAAAAAATTTAGTCATGATGAATAAAAAAATAACTATAATGAATATTAATACTTAATACTAATAATAATAACAAATAATAATAATAATCACTAGACGTATGAATGTAAGCAGTTCGTAAAACATTAAAACCAGTGAAATGAAGTTATCATTCATTCATTCGTTCGTTCATTCATTCATTCATTCATTCATTCATTCATTCATTCATTCATTCATTCATTCATTCATTCATTCATTCATTCATTCATTCATTCATTCATTCATTCATTCATTCATTCATTCATTCATTCATTCATTCATTCATTCATTCATTCATTCATTCATTCATTCATTCATTCATTCATTCATTCATTCATTCATTCATTCATTCATTCATTCATTCATTCATTCATTCATTCATTCATTCATTCATTCATTCATTCATTCATTCATACATTCATTCATACATTCATTCATTCATACATTCATTCGTTCGTTCATTCATTCATTCGTTCGTTCACTCACTCACTCACTCATTCATTCATTCAATAAATACATCTTTTCTTTCTTTAAATTCAGTGCTTTGCCTTAAACGAAGTCCTCAGCAAACGGACCGTGTTCGCTAATAATAAACATCTGTGAAGATTATTTTGTTCTTTTTTTTGATGCCCTCTGTAATTTCTTCAAAGTTATTTGCATAACGTTGGAAGCCGTAATGTTAGGACTAGACTCAAGTGTTTTATTCAGTTGTTTTTCAGGACGGTTAGTCAGTGGCATGAGTTGGAGCCGGTTTGATTCTTGCCCAGAAGCTCCATTTTCGTGTTGTGGTCGTTCGTTAGGCCTATTTTGTTGTTTTTTAGCCCGATTAGCTCGTGGCAGTAGTTGTGGTTGCAATTCAATAGCCTGATGCTTGGCTGGTTGTAGCTGGGACCGTTTAAGTCGTGGCAGTGGTTTTGGAGCTTGTTGATGTTGATGTTGTTGTTTACCTTCCAGGTAGATTGCCGATGATGAGGAATCAAAGGCCTGTAGCTGGGATTTTGGTTTCTGGAAAATATTAAGTCGCGGCTGTGGTTTGGGGGCTTGTATATGTTGTTGTTGTATAAATTCTGAGTAGTCTGCCAATTCACAAACTTTTTTTTTGGTTGGTTGTTGCTTGGACCGTTTGAGTCGTGGCATTGGTATTGGGGCTTGTATATATTGTTGTTGTATACCTGCCGATGAAGAAGATTCACGAGCCTTCTGCATGGCTGGTTGGGACCGTTTAAGTCGGGGCAGTGGTTTGGGATCTTGCGTATGTTGATGTTGTTTATCTACCTGGTAGTCTGTCGGTGATGATGACGATAGTGTTTCATGCGACATTCCTTTTTCCATTGTAAAATCTGAATTTGTGTCAATCGCACGCTTACGAATTTTTGACTTATTTATAACGGTACGCACGGTTTTACGAACGTTATTTTTAAAAGTTTTAAAATCTGTTTTTATTTCAGTCCAAACACCGCTTCGGATTCGGTCATGGTTTGGTTCTTTAGAGAATAGCTGTGATTTAGTTTTTTCAGTAGATTTTGTCTTTTTAAGCATAGCAAATTTGGTCTTTATTTTTTTTGACCATTTTTGCGTTTCTGGTTCACTTGTTGAGAAAGACGAGGATGAAGATGCTTCTGAATAATAATCATTTCTGTTTGACGACATGATGTAAATGCTATCGACTTACGATTGCAGACTATTTCGCTCTGTGATCACAATCAAAGTGTCGCAAAAAATGTTTATAAGCTCGAGATATCTTTTTCCTAACGTAGTAAAGAGTTTGTAGTGTTATTACAGTTATAAGTAGAACAATGTCTTTAGTAATTTAAAACTCTTTAACTCGCGTTTTGATAGATTAACAGTTTATTATCTCCTTTATATACCCAAAATACCACGCGATATCTAATTTATTGTTAATAACTTTGCTTTGTTTGAAACTTTTCTTTTTGACGCTAATTGGGTTTGACTTTGATTTGGTTGGCATCGATTGACTTTAACAAATTTTACATCATTGCTGCAATCAAAGTGAATATTAAACAAAGTAATCTTAAAATTCATTATAGTGTTATAGTTATTCTAGGTCATATGTTATAGTCATTATTGTTTTGAATCTCACAATACTTACTTCAAAACTGACTTTGATTTGATTGGCATCGATTTGATTGACTTCGATTTACATGTCATCGATAGTGACTTTAACTCCATTGCTACATTCATAGAGACTATTGAAAAAAAGAATCGCAAAATCTCATTAGTGTGTCATTATTATTGCTAAAATATAAAAATTTCATTATTATTGTGATTGTTGGTATTATTAATATTATTATTTTTGTTTATGTCATAATTGTTAAGTGCACAATCAAAGTGAATATTAAACAGAGAAATCTTAAAAATCATTATAGTGTTGTAGTTATTTTAGTGTTATATGTTATAGTTATTATTATTGTGAATCTCACAATACTTACTTCAAAACTGACTTTGATTTGATTGGCATCGATTTGATTAACTTTGATTTAATTGTCATCGATAGTGACTTTAACTACATTTATAGTGAATATTGAAAAAAAGATTCGCAAAAACTCATTAGAGTTTCATATTTATTACTAAAATGTATAAATTTCATTATTATTGTGATTGCTTGTATTACTAATATTCTTATTTTTGTTTATGCCTTAATTTTTAAGTGCATAATTTTTTATTTGAATTTTCATAATTTAGTGGTAGTAATAGTAGTAATAAAAGTTTTATTATTAGTAGAAATAGAACATGTAGCAGCTGTAACAAATGCAGCAGTTTTAGTATTTGGTAGTAGTATTAGTAGTAGTAGCAATAGAAGTAGTAAAATTTAGGTAGTTTAATTAGTGGAAGTAATTTATTCGTAGTGGAGTCTTGAAATTCATTGAGACCCATGCATTATCAAATTTCGATCATCAACATAACTTTCAAAAACGTGGGCGTCCTACCTTTTCAGCTAATTTCACACATGTTATTAGTAGTATGTAGTGTTGCAGCAACAGCGGTTGTAGTTGTTATAGAATTTTATTAGTAGTAGAAGAAACGATGGGACAACATTGGCAGGAAGCTGACCATGTATTATTGACAAAACGACAAAATAAAGTTGGCTCTTAGACGTCTGTAAACCAGAGATGGCGACTACAATTTCTACTATCGTTCCCCTAATGGAAGACCTCTGCAGAATGTTTTCACACGCCTAGCCCTTCTCCTAAATTTTTGGCCGTAATACCTAGCATGGAGATTGTTTTGTGAACTACTTTCAAAGCCAGACTATTGAATTTTAATTTATCTTCTACAATGACTTCAAATCTAAAACCTGTGCTTAATTTCACTTTCCAATTAATAAGCCAAACTATTAATTTTCTAATATCGTCCATTTTATTCTATTTTTGGTCTTTTTCACTCTTCAATATTTGGTGGATTTTTGAATCATCTGGAAAAATAAGATGTTGTCATATATAGATGAAATATAGCTCGGGCTTAAAACTACACCCTGAGAGACTTCACTCAAAACCGGTTTAGTCTCTGATAAGGCATCGCAAACAACAAACAACCAGTAAAGTTCTGTTGCTGCAATGTTTCTCTATATATTTTACTATTTTACCATTCACACCATACCATTGAAGTTCGCACAATAAACGGCTGTGAAACCTTGTCAAATATCTCTTCAAGATCTATGTAGACTACGTTGACGTTGTGATCCTGGTCCACTCCCTCAATTAGATTTTCCAAAAATTATAAAAGTTGCAGAACCGCAGAACGTTCAGGGTTGAAACCAAATTTAGTTATTGAAAAAAGTCCATTTCCGATGAAATATTTCATGGTATAGTCTGTAATCAGTGTTTCACTGATTTTACAACTAATTGATGTAACTGCAAGTGTACGATAGTTCTGAACTGTACCTGTATCTAAGGATTTGTGAGCGCCCCTATTGAATAACTTCAGAAGCGCTAGCTTCACTCGAGAGTGTCAAAACAAGTCGGCTCATGTTGTTGAATTTTTCAAATTTACAGTTAGTGAGTTCCAGAACTAGATCATTTCTTACATTCTTATACAACGGTACCACGAATACTTTTCATTAGATTTCTTCACATTGTTTAATAAATGAATGTCCCATATAGATAATTAAAAATACGTTGTCAACTATTTCAAAATACTTTGATATTTTGATTATAACTTATAATATTTTGTAATATGATTTTATGATCCTTCTAGCTTTTTGATTAAAGGTTTCATGATATAGTCCTTTATCAGTGCTTCAATAAATTTAAAACTAGTTGCTATATTACTATATAGATATATTACTGGACTATATTATTGGGCCAGGTGTCTGAGGTTATTATTATTTTCTCTGGCAAAAGTTGAATGTTTTTTCAGTATATTTTAAAACATAAATCTAAAGTAATTTCGAATATTTTTCGTCCGATTTCCTCACACTGTTTAACGGATGGATGCCCAGCCCATAGAAATAATTTTAAAAATATTGTCAACTTTTTTGAAAAACTTTAATATTTTGATTATCACTTTTACAAATATGATTTTATAATCTTTATAATTTATATTTTATTGCGAACGATTTTAAAACAATTTAATACAGGTACACTGTGATAGAAACAATGCATAAACTAACTTTCAATACTACTCTATCATCATTGAGCTCATTTTAAATGACGAGCCATGACATTTTTTAACATTTATACAAGTTTACTTTATTATTATTAACGTTATTGTTACACATTTCCCGTGATGAGTATTGTGACGTCATATATTCCAAAATAATTATATTATTTGTAAAATATAATTTTTTTCATTATTTTATAACGCACAAACACATTTGTAAAACAATATTGGTTATGGAATAATAAATTGATTGTAATAAAAAATTATAATTGATATTAAAAATAACTAAGAAATGAACAATAATGAATTAAATTTATCAAATAATGATATTTTCATCCCTCAAGTCATTTTTCGTCCAATTTTTTATTATTCATTCATTAACTCTTTCATTCAGTAACTTTTAAATCAATAATTCAATAAAGAAATAAATGTATCCTTTCTTTCTTTGGATTTATGGCCTTCTTTCTAACGAACGCATCAGCAAACGGAGGATGTTAATTAATAAAATACTTCTTAGTAGATTATTTTTTGATGTCTTCTGTAATTTTTTCAAAGTTATTTCCATAACGGCCGTTATGTTTGGTCGAGACTCGAGTGCCTTACTTTGTTGTTTGCATTGTAGTTTGGTCCCATTTAGAGGTTGTTTTTTGGACCCGTTGGTTCTTTGCATGGGTTGGGGCAGGTTAGAATCCTGTTCAGAAGCTCCAATTTTATGCTGTAGTGGTCGGCGAGACTTATTTTGTTGTTTTAATAGCCAGTTAGTTCGTGGCAGTGGTTTTGGCTGAAATTCAAGAGCCTGTTGCATGAGTTGTTGATCCTGAGACAGTGGTTTGGTGCATTGTATATGTTTTTGTTGTATAACTTTCAGGCTGTCTGCCAATTCAATAGTTTTTTGCTGGAGTGGTTGTTGCTGGGATCGTTTAAGTCGTGGCAGTGGCTTGGGGGCTTGTACATTTTGTTGATTTATACCTTGTAGGTAGTCTGTCGATGATGAGGTTTTATCAGCCTGCTGCTTTGGTAGTTGTTGTTCGGACCATTTACGCCGAGGCAGTGGTTTGGAGGCTTGTATATCTTGCTGTTGTATATCTACAAGGTTGTCTGCCGGTGATGATGACGATAATGGTTCAAGCGACTCTCTTTTTTCCATTTGCAATTTGTAATTTTCGTAACACTCACGCGACGTTTTCTTCACTTACTTTCTAATTATCGTACCACAGTTTTACAGTTGTTGCTATAGATGCTTCAAGCTAGAGATAATTTGCTCAAAACGTGGACAAGTTGTTATAATAATTGCAGCAATAAGTATACCAATGCATTCAGTAGTTAGAAATATCTAAATTGCTGTTTGGTAAATTAACAAATTATATTCCTCTATATATACCCAAAATACAATGTGACTTTTACATTATGGGTAATAACTTTGCTTACAACTTTTCTTTATTTAACAATGATTGTTGTTTACTGACTTTGATTTTATTGATATCGATAGTATTTGACTTGATTGACTTTCACTCTATATCAACATTCAAAGTGAATATTAAACAAAAGTATTGTAAATATATTATTTTTTCATTGCTTGTAACAAAAGAATTGTAAATATTTTTTCATTAAGATTATTATCATTAATAATATTAACGTTATGATTGTTAATTGGGTAATTTTTATTTATTCGTACTTTCATAAGATAATGATTGTAAAAAATAATAAAAAATAATTCAAAATTTGATACTACACACTTAAAAATATTTAATTTTTTATTCTTTTTAACAAAGTAAATATGAGTATGAGTTGATCAATCAAATTTAAAAGGATTTTACTTTATTAATTCAATAGAAAACAATAATAGTTTTAGTGTTTTATTTCCTGATAGTGTCATTTTAATCGCCCACCACACACATGCACACACATTATCACAAACTTTAGCACAATTATTACATTTAAAGTGCATATGACTATTTATTCATTCGTTCGTTTAAATCATTATTGGTGATGAAATAATATGTAATTTGTAATAATAATTATTTACCAATTATTACAATAACTAAAAACAATTATTACATTCAAAGATCATATGACTGAACTTTACTAAAGGATTGAAACTGTGAAATGAAATTATCAAATAGTCAAACGTTCACCATTCCAGTCATTCAGTCGTTCAAACATTTTACTATTTATTCATTCGTTCAATTTTTTTTTCCATTTTATTTCTATTTTTCATCTTTTGAATTGTTTTCTATCCTCATTCATTTATTTATTCATTCGTTAGTTCGTTCAATTCGTTCATTCTTACGCTTGTTCGTTCATTCGTTCAATTTTTGTTTCTTTATTAAGAACATTAACATTTTTTCTTTCTTCAAATTCAGTACTTGCTCTAGACGAACTCTTCAGCTCCATTTTTGTTTTGTGGTCTTACGTTAGGCCTATTTTGTTGTATTTTAACCTGATCAGTTTGTGGCGGTGGTTGTGGTTGCAATTCAAAAGCCTGTTGCTTGGCTGGTTGTTGCTGGGACAGTTTAAGTCGTGGCTGTGGTTTTAGAGGTTGTTGATGTTGTTCTTTATCCTCCAGGTAGAATGCCGATGATGAGGGTTTTGGTTTCTGGAGCATTTTAAGTCGCTGCAGTGGTTTGGGTGCTTGTATATGTTTTTGTTGTTGTATAACTTCTGATCTTGGTTGGAGGTTTTGGTGGGGCCGTTTAAGTCGTAGCTCATTTAAGCATGCATCCATTTTTTTTATTCATTTTCAAAAAACAGTCATTCACTCACTCAAGCATGCTTTCACTTTTTTTTCATTTATTTTTGAATCAGTCGTTCAATAAATCAAAAAGTTATTTATTCATTCATTTCATCAACCGTTAAATCGTATATTTTTTATTATTTTCTTTACATTTTCATTTACATTTAAAATTTTTCTTGCCTCCACTCTATCACTCGATCAATCATTAATTCAATCATTCATTTAATCATTCATTTATTAATTCAATCGTTCATTCGTTCTTTCGTTCGTTCGTTCGTTCATTTGTTCATTCGTTCATTCGTTCGTTCGTTCGTTCGTTCGTTCATTGTTTAATAAAGAAATAAATTTATCCTTTCTTTTTTTAAATTTTAGATCCCCACGCCTACAAAAATGAGGTATGTCTTTTTATAAAAAAAGTTAGTTTATTTTTAAAAAAATGTTTAAGTAGTTAAAAAAAGTAATTATCTTAAACAGTTAGTAACTTTTAATAAAATAGTTAAGTAGTTGTTATAAACTACTGGAAAATAAAAAAATGTTTAAGTAGTTAAAAAAAGTAATTATCTTAAACAGTTAGTAACTTTTAATAAAATAGTTAAGTAGTTGTTATAAACTACTGGAAAATACTAGTTACAATTATACAGCTCAACTACTTGTGTGTAGTTATTAACTACTGGTTAACTATTTATATTTAGTAACTACCCTCATGAGTTACAACCCATTTATACGGTACTAAAGCAGTGATTGTACTCAGCGATTTCAATATTTGGCTGGTCGTCACTCGTCAGTAGAGTTTGGGTTCGGTTCGGTTCGTTTTGTTTCTCATCTCTAACTACAAATCAGGTTGAACCATGAGAAATGAACGCAACTAGAAATTTCCAAACTATTTGCTATGTTTGTGTGATTGTTATCGTCAGCGGATCAACACAAGTAGTTAGATGTGAGTGTTGGTTCGGCGTTGTTATGAGTCTTTGTTGTTATTGAATAAGTTTAGAAAGTCAGTCTGATATTGAACATTTTTAAAAATCTAATTAGTAAAAAAATTTAATTTCTAATCAATTTTCAGACCCTGTTATTAACAAGTTTGTTTGTAGTTCTCAAAATGAAACCCAAAATTATTGAAATTACCCATCGCGTAAAATTTAAACTTAAATTTTCCATTTTTTAAAAACTTTTATTAATTTAGTGTTTAAGTGATTTTAAAATTAATTAAAATTATATTAAAACACAACGATCAATTTATAACGCGTGATTGCTCAATGTTCTATTAAGACATTTCTCAATATTTGTGAGAGACTGAGTTTTTTTTATTTAATATATATTAACATAACACAACGTAAAATAATTGGCTCAGATTCACGACTCTATGTGCCCATATCCTAATATGGGCATTATTTTAATAATATATTAATAAATTAATTTACATTTGTGTCACACAAATTCAGAATGCTACTTGGTTCAGGAATTTTATAATTGGTTTAAAATTTGCAAGCATTACTTGAATAAATTAAAAAAAATTAATTATTACAAAATTTTAGTTTGCTCGTTTTTTAACCGTATAATGTGCTGAATATGACTGGTTTAATTTAAAGTTAATTTTTTGTTCAAATTACCTAAAATTATTTTAAGAAGTATTTGTAGAGTAGAGCATTGAAATAGACGCTATTTATTTAACAATGAAAAGCCAGCGATTCAAACAATTTCATTGTTCAGCAGTTGCAAATTTCGCTTAACAAATCAACTGAAAAAAACGTTGCAGAAATTACGTAGTGATTTTATTACTTGATAATAAATTCAACAAACTACTTACACGCGTACTCGATGAAGTATATATTGCAAGTTGTGAGCACTATCATTTAAATTATGTCTAACAATATTCATTTCGTTGTATTTCTGCTTTGTTTTATTTCTGTGAATGCAAATGATTTTTGTTCATCAGCCGCTTTCCAAACATGCACATCATGTCAGATTGATGATGCATTCATACTTTTGGATGGCTGCTTGAGACCAAACTTCATGAACCAGATGCCTGGCTATGTTCAACCAGATCATGTTGATTTTCAAGAGGAACTTTCAAAAATTGTTAATATAAAGAGCAAGACGAGAACATTGATAATAAAAAACACAGCACTAAATGAGTTTCCATCAGCCATTTGCACTATGAACAAAATCTCAGAACTTTGTATCAATAACACCAACATTCCATTCATACCAAATAATTGTATTAACAAACTGAAAACTTTGAAAAAAATTTCATTGCAGTTTAATCAAATTGAACATATCCAAAAGGGTTTGTTTGATGGGATGAAAAGTCTTGAAGAAATATTTTTGAGCAACAACAAGATAAACTCTGTTGACGTGGATGTGTTTTCAAACCAAACAGACCTTCCATCGTTGCATACGTTGGATTTAAGTAACAACGTGCTGACGAACGTCGATGCATGGGTCATCATTCGAGCAATATCAGTTGACAAAGCATCAATTAATCTCAGCTTCAACAACATTTCATTCTTTACAAATCAAAAAAATTGGTCATACACGTGCAGAGATTTCCAAGGAAAATCTTTAAATTTTAATTTGAACTTTCACAAAAATAAACTTGAACATATAAGTGACCTGCTGATTTTTTTTCCAAAATTTATTGATCTGGTTTGTCTTTTTATTCCTAAAACCAGAAGTTTTGTGAACATCGAACTTTTAAACAATAAAATAATTTGCGATTGTGTAGATTATGAAATAATAAACTTTGTTAATAGACTGCCTCACGCGAAATTGTTTGATAAACTTATCTGCTACACATCATTTCGAGTTCTTCCTGTAAAAGTTTTTTCTGTTCATCGCGAGGAGCTTCAATGTGGGATGACGCCCTGTCCGGATGGATGTTTGTGTAGAGAGATCCCACTTTATAGGAGTATTTATGTGAACTGCAATCACAAACACATTAATTTCTTGCCAAAAATTTTACCGGTGGAAACGAAAACATGGAGGATTTCAGACTTCCATTACAATTTAACTTTCAGTCACAATTTAATCGATTCAATTGAAGATAGATTTTATTTGAACAACACAGCCGTCTTAGATCTTAGTCATAATGGAATAAGAAAACTCGATTCACACATTATAAACTCTCTTAAAGTTCTGAAAGAATTATATTTGCATTCAAATCTTTTGACTACTCTACCGAACGATTTTTTGATCCGCACAAGCGGTCCGCACCAACTGAAGGTTATAAGTTTACACAACAACTCTTGGGATTGCTCATGTGAAAATAAATGGCTGAAGTCGTGGATGATAAATTTAACAAATCAAAACATAAGTTTGCTGAATCCGGACAGTGTTTTGTGCAGAACTCCAAAAAGACTAGTGAGTAAAAGCATTGTTTCTGTTGATGAAGTAGAATTTTGTGAGGACCCATATATTGTACAAAAAAATAAAATTTTAATTACCATTCTAATCCCAATTTTTACTATTTTGCTCGTTGCGATATTAATTTACATTCTGATAAAAAAATTCAAAGTCGAGTTGAACACGCATTTGAACATTCACATTCTCGATAGAGATGAGTGCGTAGGCGAGAACATGTTGTACGATGTTTTCATCAGCTGTGCCAATGCAGACCCCGACCGGTCAAAAGGACTTGCACTCTTGAGTTTACTGGAACTTGAAGGTTACAAAGTTTGCCATCCCGACAAAGACTTCATTGTTGGTCGTTTGGTTGAGGAGAACATTGTCGACGCAATCTGTTTCAGTAAGCGTGTTGTTTGTTTCTTAACGCAAAACTTTCTAAATAGTCCCTTCTGCATGTTTGAATTTGAAAAATCTCTGCAAAGAAATATGGAAAAAAACAAAGAAAGATTAATCGTTTTGTTAAACAAATCGTTTGAAGTGGACAAGAAAAAACTGCCGAGACACATGTTTAACTTCCTGAAGACGCATACGTACATCGAACTATCAAACAAAAACTGGGTCAATCAATTGTACTACAGTCTGCCTATCAACAAGTTTTGTGAAGGACAACAACCAATTTTTAGACAACTATCACAACAACAACACCAGCAACGCCAGCATCAACTACTACTTCAACTACAACAACCACCACCCCCACCACAAATGGCATCACCAAGAACAACTGCAACATCACAACCAGCAACCACAAATTCATCAACAACTCCTACTATATCACCACAAACAACCACAGCAACTAAATATCAACAAACAACAACATTACCACCAACCCCAACTACTACAACCACAACTACACCACCACCGGCAGCAACTACAGTAGCAGCATCAACGACAACAACATCAACCGCAACTGCATACCGGACTGACGTTGAAACTTCAAACGTATAATAATTTATATCAATGCATACCAGGTGCGATTGTTTCACCTTCGTCGTACATAAAATAATGTATAAATAACTAAACAATGCATTTAATAAATGCACATTTTTTTCTTATTTTGATTAAAACAGTTTATTCAATTAATTCAATCAGTTAATTTCTAAACGTGATATCATGTTACATGTTATCTGTCAGATCCTGATTTTTAAAGAATAACAAAATAAAAAAAAAAATCTGTGATGTTTCAGTTTCGTTTCAGTAAGATAAATGATAATATAAGACTTCATGAGGTTGTATTTGCTCTAAGAGGTGGAAATATTTAAAAAACACAACACAAACATACGAACTTCAATCAATAGTTCAATCGTTAAATCTATCAATATGTATTTTGATTTGGAAAAAATTTCTGTTTTCACTATCTGCTTTAATTCTACTAGACCAAAAATGCTCATGCGCAATTTAATATCCCGATCCTATGGTTAAAATTTTATTTACATTTATTTACTTTCAAACATTTTTTCTTAATCCATTTCAATATTTACATTTAAAACCAACACTTTTGTTTTTAATTCTGTCTGTTTGCTTAAGTTAACTTCCTCGTTCAACCAGTGATTAATCAAAGGTTTTTACGTATGCATTTATATAAATATATAGTATATCTATGCAATGAATACGTATTTTACACATGTGTAATACTGTTCCATTTTTAGCATGTAATTGCAGGGTACAAACAAACGTTATAACATGTTTATTCCTATTCAGAAAACTACCTCAAGTTCATTCACAGTGAAACTATCTGAGATTCATTTTATACTTATTAGAAAATATATCCTTCACCAACCTCCATCAAATTCAAACTTATTCAGATAAAGTGAATCATTAAACGCATGTGCCATCGCTGCAACTCAACACAAATAAACAAACACGTCTTTTCAAACTGCGGCTCAGCCTCAGCGTTAACCGATGGCAACAAAATTCTTTCGCTGATTGTTCGCCACATCAGAGCATGTGCGACCATGTGTTCACAACTACGCAGAGTTGATTTGCCCAGCATCCTGTCTGTTCAGATCGTGGAGACCTGGCTTTGCTATCATTAACAAAAGTTAACTAATTAACGTTCTCAAAATCTCCTTCTGCCACGAAGCAAACTCTATGAAATTTAGACGGTACAAAACGAAAAAATAACTAAAAAATTTGAAAAATAATCTTGTAGATGATGTGAAATATTTAATTGCTTCAAATCATTTTTTGGTAATAGACCATAATTTTTACAATACTCTATAAATTCTACCGAATGTTTGGCGTTAATATGTTTGTTAATAATTTGAAAAAACGAACTACAAATATATTAACGCCTAACATTTGGTAGAATTTATAGAAAAATGTAAAAAATAATTTTTTCTAAATATTTCATATAGGCTTTTATAATCCTTTTAATTTATTCCTAATCAATTTAAAGATGAAGCAACCGACGTTTCTGAACTTTTTTTATCAATGGCGTAGCGAGGTGGTTTAAGGTATTACATTAGCAACTGGGCGCCGCTCATTAAGGGTGCATTAAAACTGCCTTCTAGATTATCTTTTTTTTTTGAAAATTTTGATTGCCAACAAAATACTGCTGAAAATAAACTCATTGGTTACTCCGCAATAAAAAAAAATGGAACTTATAATGCAAAAACAACGTTTTGCTATGATAATGTTGACTTATAAAGCGCTCTGGCAAGAGACTGAGGCGCTCTCGAAACAAAAAACATTCTTTGTTAGACGTTTGAAAACGCTCAATCAAAATAAAAAGTTTTTAATGACGACTTAAATGACTGTGTAGAGCTGCAGTTCCTAATCTTTGGCGGAAACGAATTTCAAACGTTAGGAGCAGCATGTCGGAATGCACGACCAACAATATTGTTTGCTGTTTTATGCTGATGAAAACGTAAAACGATGGCAGAGCGCAGTTAACTATTGTTTGTATTTCTATGTAGAAGATCACTGAGATACGACGATGAATGCCATATTGAATGTTTGAAGACAGCTATTTTAAATAAAACATCAAAATTAAATGGAAACCACTGGATTGGAGGTTCATTAGATTTGATGAGGTCGTTGATGACAGACGATGTAACGGTGTACTGAATTGAGTTCTACTCTAGCGTCTCTATTCATTATTCTTTGGAGACGAAATTCTTGACTTTTAGATAATCCATTTAACACAGAATTGCAGTAGTCCAATTTGGACAGTATCAAACACTGTGCCAGATAACTAGCCAATGCTGTAAAAAGAAACTGTCTAATATGTCGTATTAAATGATTATACTCTTAAATGATTATTACAGGATTTAGCTATAGACGTAATGTGAATCAGGTGAGTCAACGTTTGGGAATGCTCCAATAAACCGTCGACCTTCGGATAGAACCATTTTTGAATATTGATATTGATGAAGTTATTTGGTGTAGAAAATTGTTAAGTCTATTTTTTGTTGGAGTTGAAAATGTTTTGTAGTCGGTTGGTTGAAACGTTATAGGATGAAAATTAGCCGGGTCATTGAGATTCCTTTTTTGTAGATTAAAATTGTTAAAGCTTTTCTCCAACAATTTGGTATCATAGATGAGGCCCAGCATTTTAACAATAACTTATAGAATAAGGTTCTATGAATTGGACATTTTTTGAAAACTAATATCGATATCTGATCCAATGGACACGGAGAGGCGCGAGATTTACTTCCACGAACTGTTGTAGGACTGGCATCACCGCTGAATGGGGGCAACGGGCAATGTTGTAATTAAATTTGTCATCGGCTTTAATTGCGCTGTAGAAGAAATTGCTCCCTTTTTCAAAATCGAATGATGGAGGTGTTATTGTGGTGGGCGAGAAAATTTTTTGCATGCTTTCCAAAAGTTCTTTGATAGTTGAATTGAAACGTCGGATTGATCGGCCAATTTTCCTGGACGCCTCAAGTGATGAAGCTTGGACCTAATCATTTTACTGACGGCAATTATGTAATTGTTAAATGAATTGATGTTCCGTCGGTGGATTTTCAAATTTCTCAATTCCTTCATGAGTTGTTTAATAATTAAATTTTGATTTGTTGTTTTTTGGTTTAACTTTTCCAAAAGTATTGAAAAAGTAGCTGTAGATTGTGTTTTAGAAAATTGAGGTGAAATTGTTAAATTTCCTAACATCACATAATTAGAATATAATTGTTAACAAAATTGCACTGAGTTCAAATGTCATAAAGTGCAAAAAATTTTTAAATGAATTTTTTAAATGATAAAATTTTAATGACTAAATTAAATATTTTCTTATGGTGAATTTTTTCCCGCAAAAGTCAAACGTCATTTATTATTTTATTATGACAAATTTTTGAAATTCAGGATTCTGTTCAAAAAAATATTTTGAAAGCACATATCAAAATAAATGTTTGCACATGACATGTATTGTTGTTTGTGTGTGTGGTGTGGTTAGCTATGTGGTAGTTATACAGTATCAATCTATGTGAGATTCTGCATATTGCTCTTGTTCAAATTATTAAACTGTTTACGACGTTGGTGCATGTTAGAAATAGTGATGCTTCAAACATATTCAATTTTCAAATCTTAATTTTAATTAGCTTTAGCAATGTCACACATCCATAACGTGGAGCACGCATAAACGTACATGATATGAAAATCCCCATGATATGTAAAATGCCCAGCACACACACAACGCATTCGTTTCTACACACATACACCACACACACACGTATCAACATATGCTTCAAACCATAATGTCAACAAGTACACATGTCAACAAAAAAATTATTTATGCATTATTTAGTATTTTATTTGCGTTTAAATTTAGCTAGAACTTCTTTAAAAATACAATTTATAAACTATTTAATAATTCACGTAGTTTAAACTTTCAAAAGCAACTTTTTCCTAGCATATTTGTGCACGTTCGATGTTCAGACTCACCTTGAAATCACGTAGAATTCTCCATTTAATTACATGCATCAGATAAAACTAATTTTGCTTCTAGACAAGCAAACAAACATACACACACTACACACACAAACATCAAAAATACACACATACACAAACAACACACACACAAACAAGCACACACAGAAACACTCACACACGCGCGCACACATACAAAACGACGTACATCTTTATTTGTATTAAACACTAACACCACACATACACATTTGTAGGTAACAGCCACACCAAACGATGATTTTGTGAACAGTACCTGTTGTAATGTACCAATGGCAAGAATAATAAAGTTCTCTACTTTTTAATTTACCCTTGTCTGAAATTCGGAACTGAACAAAAACTAAATAAAATTAATTCATTTGACTTGACATATTTATCAACAAAAATTAAAGAAAAAAAATGAAGCCACGTCTTAAATAATTTTTTAAAAATCTTTAATAATCTTAAACCGAATAAGTTACATCATAGAATTGTTCTCATTGCGATATTTGCACGCGTTGTCTTTGGGCTTGACGCGTTGGATCCGAACAAAATAAACGTTTTTTTAATGTATGTGGGTTATTGTCTCGTGATAGTGTATGCATTAAGATTAGTTTGAAATAGTTGTAGCATGATTGATATTATAATATGTTTGT